ATTTCTCTTTTTTGCTACACCGTTTTGTTGAGGTGTATAACAAATTGTTAATTGATGTATTATTCCATTTTTTTTACAAAAAGATTCAAAATTTTCAGTCATGTATTCACCACCTCGATCCGTCCTTAATGTTTTAATTTTTCTACCTAGTTGGTTTTCTACTTATGTCTTAAATTCAATAAATTTTTGTAAGGCATCCGATCTATTCTTTAATAAATATATATAACCATGTCTTGAATAGTCATCGAAAAAAATAATAAAATATTTCATACCACAATGGGTTTTAACATTTAGAGGACTGCAAATATTCGAATGTATTAATTCTAGCAAATGTTTAGCTCTTTCTAATTTTTCAAATGACTTTCTAGTCATTTTTCCACTTATACAAGATTCACATAGTTTCAAATCAAGATCTAAATTTGGAATCAATCCAATGTTAGCCATCTTTTTCATTTTATTATAATTAATATGATCTAATCTCATATTCCATAAAATAGAATCAACATTAACATCACAAGAGACATCGATATAAGCAGAAGAAGAACCAATTTTATTATTGTCAATAGCAACATTCAAACGGTAAAGACTATTAACTTTAGTCCCCCATGCAAAAATACGACCATGTTTACCAATAGAAATTATAGAAGACCAAAAATGGACTTCAAAACCCTTATCATCTAATCGTGGCACAGACAAGAGATTGTGCTACATGTTAGGCGCATAAAGTACATCAGTCAAGAGAAGGTTGTTTTGCCCCGGGCAACGAAATTCTCACAGTGCCAATTCCAAGCACATCACAATAAATATTGTTTTCCCATGTATAACTTGTGATCACCGGTTTTCACCTCTTTTATTACAACGAAATTTTCTCGAGTCTTAGCCACATGCCGAGAAGAGGCAGAATCAATCTACCAAACAAGAGAGTCACAGTCTGCAAGAAGCGACTCAGAAATCACACATATAATGTCTTTTGATCCTTTAAAATTTTGACCATTATTCTTTTGTGTGCAATTTCTTTTGTAATGACCAGATTGCCCACAGTTATAACAAGTACCAATTTATTTTCCTTTAAAATTATTATGTCGCTTGAACTTGTTATATTTCTTATTATTTCTTTTAAAGTGTTTGTTTTGTCTTGACTTAAGAAAAGATGGAGTAGTTGGCACATTATTAGATGGATCACTCGTAACAAATTGGGAAGATGAGACACTAGAAACTAGATTTGACACATTACTAGTTTTCTGTTTAGCCCTTCTCTCGGCCTCAATACCTAACAACATAGATAACTTTGTCATTGTTAAATCTTGGCCAAACATGTTCAAAGAAATCACAACGGACTCCCATGAATTAAGAAGACTATGTAAAACAATAGAAACTTGCATTTTATCTGGAATTGGGTTACCTCGAGATACCAACTTTTTAGCTATTACCACAAGTTTATTGACATGTTCAACAACAGCCTCATCCTCTTTCATAAAAATGGTATTATATTTTTTAATCAATAGTTGAATATATGTGTTAGATGCAGTACCATAGGCTTGTGTTATAGCATCAAAGATAGACTAAACAATTTTATGTTCCTCAAAAATAATCTCTAAATTGGGTTCCATGAAAGTAAGCAAGGTTGACCTAACCAATTTGTCGTTCTCTACGAATCTTTTGTAGGTGTTTGTAGAAGCCTCTCCGGCTCTAAGAGGTGATTCTTTTGGGTATGGTGTATCAATAACATATTCAACTTTATCTTGAAATAATATGTGACGAATCTTACGTTTTCAAGTTGAATAATTTGTACCATTAAGTCTCTCGGTTTTGCTTAGTTCTACACTAGCAGCCTTAGACCCCATATGGACAAATTATAGAAAAATAAATTACTAGGTAAAATTAGTTAGAATTGATCCAATTTAATTTTATTACCGAAGTGTGATTTCAAGAGTGCTTCGAGTAGGCTGCAACACCAATTGCTCAATTCAGCAGCAACTGTAATCAGGTTCCTCCAAAATTCTGTTTGAATAGAATAGCTTTGGTCAATTACTAGTAAGCAGTTGTCCACTTGCAGTCGAGTGATCAGCAAAAAAATAGAGAAACAAAGAAATTGGCCTAAAATCAAATAAAATGGAGATGGGCAAAAGCTTTGGTCAACACGTTGAATATTCCACAACCAATATGTGTATAGACCAATACCAAAGCAAAATAAAAAAGGAATTGTTTTGGCTTCGTATAACGTGCAAGAAAAAAAATTTCAGTGGGATTATTGCTTTGTTTCATCCGTTAAACCAATAGAAAAATTGTGACGGTACAAAATAATTGATCGACTAAGCTCTAATACCAATATAGAAATAAGTAGAACAAAATTTAATAAATTTGAAGAATGGGGAGGTAGCTTTTGAGAATTAAAAATTCTCTTTAATACGAAAACAGTAAGATTGAAATTTTTCTTCAATGAATTTTCTGACAAATTGAGTGTTTTCTTGGTCTGTTCTCTCTGTATACAGAGAACCTTATTTATAAGAGAGAATTCAGCTAGTCGTTCAACTAGCCGTTGCCACTTAACAAAATATCCTCAACTCTCCAATATATTCTTAACCCCACCAGTATTTTCTCAATCCTCTGCTGTCAAAGTAGGCTAATTATACTCTAATTAGAATTGACTAATCTTTCCTTACTTGATGAGTCCTTTTAGTTAAGTCACTCATACTAAATAGAAAAGATCCAACTCAAACATTTAATTATATCAATGTAATATATGTATGCATACATCATTATAAAATAATTAATTAATATATAATAATTTGACAAAAAATGCATCTATGATATATGTCATGAGTAATGTAATATTTGACCAATGGATTGAGATTTTATATATTTTAAATTTGACCAATGGATTGAGATTTTATATATTTCGAATGTGATCACCAATCGTGGCTTAATTAATATCAAAGAATTGTAGCCACATATTCCAACATCAACGATAGGTCACAGATTCATTGATATTGGTTGGTTTCTCTTTCTGAAGTTAATACAATAGACTAATTTTGGGTCCAAATAGGAAATTTATAGCAGGACAAAGAACTTATGTGTTGTTCAAACTATAATTCAAACACATTATACATGGGATAAGATAAAAATTATAAACCAATTATTACCACCTTTTGATTGAATTAGAGTCAATTGTCCAATCTTCAACTGGACACAAAGCATATGCAATAGAGTTCAACCAGAAGTTGGGAAACTATGGGGACTAGTGCTCTTTGAAAATGACTAATATGCCTACTTTTCGTATCACCATCCTTGTAATGTCCAAACCATCTCAGCAAAGTTTGGCACTTGTTATATCCCTTTCAAATCATAGTGGTAAAACACCATTCATGAAGTTTTTGGTATAGTACAAGCATGCCGAGAAAGCTGAACGGCAGGACCAGGGAATGGTTGCATCCATTTCCACCCCACTAGGGCAATGATATGCTACTTCATTTTTGGGGCAACGATATGCTACTTCATTTTTTGGGCACCGTTAGATTTTGGTCTGAAATATTTACAACAATTGATCATAAAAATAATAAATTGTGATTAGATGATAAAGCAATAAAATTTTATACGTGTAGTGGACGGATTTAGTCAACAATGTCTTAACTACGAGAATGTAATTTGGCCTTTCTGAATTAGATTTCTAATTTGGTTAAATTTTTAACTGTCAAACTTGGATATGAGTTTGATTTCTATTCAATTATAAAATAATTGTATCATCCTCTGATTCCATGTGAATGATGTAAATTTATTTGTATCAATTAATCCTATTTTTATACAAAAAAATATAACAAAATATTTAAATTTACAATAATTATATCTATATTAATAAAATAGAGTGTCCTACTTAAGCCCCTTAAACTACGGACTTAAAAAAATACAACAAGGACTCAAATCGTTTAGATCCAACGATGTATTTTATTACTTATATTTTAACCACAATAACTATTTATATTTATATTTAACCATTTAATCACAGTAAATATTTTGATCACCTGCCTATATTAGTTGATATGGAAAGATCATCATAGTTAGAGAATGGTGAAGGATCATGCAACTATTCTACTCCCTCCTGTCTCTAGTTGTCTTTTTTCTGGCTGTCGCGCCCACCTCCTTGGGTAAAATTTCGTAATTAATTTTAAGAAATAAGAATCTAATTGCATAACGTGAAAAGTACAAGTGAACTATCATATAAATAACATAAAAATATAATTAAATTTTTTTAATTTAATTATTTATTTTTAGTACAATTGCATATATAAATTTACTAAGTAATCAATACACACAGAATTGTTTAGAGAAACAAAATTCATAATATGCACACAAAGTGATAGAATGATTAGTCATAAATTGTACGTCGTTATTCTAGTGATATTTGATTAATTACGTTGGGTAAGAAGCTGATTTGTGCATAAATGATGTGTTTTAATTTTTATCTCTCTTTTTTTGTAGTATTTTCTTATTTTTCACGTGTTGAGGTTTTTTTTGTAGAGTTTAGTTTGTGTGTGATCCGGATGATAACCCGATCCAAAATATTCAGTGATTAGAGTTTTTTGGATTGATTCTGTACTGCCACTGCCCTCTTTATAAGTTTTTCTGAAAATAGTGAAATCTTTGTATCTTCGTGGACATAGACAAATTATTGAACTACGTAAATTCTGTGTTGTGTAATTGTTTGAATTACATTTTTATCATTTTTTTTATTAATTTTACTTTATTTTCATCATTTGATTTTCCAATAGCAACTAAATTAGTTGACGCAGAAAACTACCAAACACACCTAACAAATAAAATATCCCAAATGATAACATGTCTTAAGAGGAGTTCGTAAATTATGAAAAATGATGGGGGCACCAAATCGAAATTATTAAAATCATTGGAAGTCTCGCGCGGACCTTAATCTTGGTGGGAAAGAAATATAGGACGTTGGATTCGAAATTTTGAAAAAAGTTGGACCAATCCAATTACGTCTCGACTCCACTTCTCAGTTCTCACCAGTTACCACCTCCTTCTATACAACAAGACAAAGTCCCATGACTCCACCGCGTTTTGCAAGTTGTTTTTAGCCCAAAGTGACCAGAGGTTTCTGCCTTCTCTGCCTCACCCATCATCTTTCTCTGTCTCCATCTTCCTCATAAACCCTAATAATTTTCAATTTATATCCTCACAATCCAACTCTCATAGCTCTTTTTTTTTGTGACAAAAGGTCTCTGAAAACCCTAGCCTTTTTGGTCCACTAGACCACGTGATCGTTTCTGATTATACAGCGATAGATACAACAAAGGTAATTTTTCTAATATTTACACGCTTTCTTTATCTATCCGTATCAGTACTTCGTTGATTGTTATGATAGGTTTAATCGCCCCAGCGAATGAATTATTGAGTCTGTTGGGTCAATCTGCAACTAGGTGAAAATTCCGTATATCGAATCCCCAACCTTTGAAATCTGTACGACTCCATGATTTGTTTAAGGTTATTGTGTATTTGATTTTATGTTGACATGGGATTTCAGAGCTAAGCTAGGTTCCATGTAAGTGCTAAACACACTTGTGCGAAGTGCTTGATATGGTTTTGTTTCTTTGAATTTACTGTCATAAGATTAATAGATGATTAGAGAAAATTCTGTTGATTGTGCTTGATGCTAATGTTTAGTACATAATAGGCTCAGTCACAGTGTAGAGCTCTATTAGAACAGAGTAGTAGTGAATTCTAGTTATACTATTCTAGCAACTTTATTATACTGTTTAAAGCTCTTTAAATCTTGAGGTGTTTGTAACTCTGGACCTTTTTTAACTCGGGGCGAAGAAATGGAAGTGATCGGGAAGGATGATCTGAAGACTCCACTTTTGCTACCCTCTGATGGTGTTGCAGCCACTGTTTCTCAGCCAAGTCATGATGGAGATATGAAAATTGAGACGATTACATTCAAAGTAAGTGGCATCAAGCATGCATCTTGTGCGACTTCTATAGAATCCAAGATTGGGAATCTGAATGGAGCCGCGAATGTAATGGTATCACCACTTCAAGGCCAGGCTATTGTTCGATACATGCCAGAACTCCTTACGGTTAGTCAATTTTAGAATCGTTAGTGAATTCCTTGATCTTCTGCCTATATTTGGCTGGTTTTGGTGATTTGACTGTTTGTGATAATTTTGAGATTGCAGGATAGCTGGGGTCCTTTTTAATTTTTATTGTAAACTGTAGGATTCATCAATTTTCTTCTCCACTGTGCAGATTACAAAGATGTAACTCAATTTGTCCGGCAAAAAATGTTTTGAGTTTGTTATTGTATTTTGCTGTTTTCCGACTATTCACTTAATTCTATAATCCCCTTGTGCTACTTTATTTCCAAAACGTGTGACAGCATTTGTGTTGCTGAATCAAAACAAGTTCTGAGTTGTGGGAAATAAATGGAAGTTAAATTTTGCAAAGAAATTTGGAGCTTGTTGTTACTGGAATAGTAGGTTGCAACATTTAACATGTCAATTAAGAATGTGATTTTTCTTGGTAAAAGCACTGTTGACTTTTGATCTCAACTTTTGACTTTCTTTCAAAGTCTTGGACGTTTTAGTGAAGCTTAACTTAGACAAGTAACATTTTACTAGTATCTTCATGCTGCTAGACTATGTTATTTCTTTATGATGGAATAAGATGTATTCATGCTAGTATCTTCATGCTAGACAAGTGACATTTTACTAGTATCTTCATGCTGCTAGACTATGTTATTTCTTTATGATGGAATAAGATGTATTCATGGGTCGCACAAAATAATTTTCAATGCAATTCCATCTTAGGCAAACACAATAAAAAAAGCTGTGGAAGACATTGGTTTTCAAGTTAATGAGTTTCCAGAGCAAGACATAGCGGTTTGCAGGCTCAGAATTAAAGGAATGGCATGCACGAGCTGCTCTGAGTCTGCTGAACATGCACTTTCAATGGTTGATGGAGTGAAAAAAGCAGTGGTAGGTTTAGCTCTGGAAGAAGCAAAAGTACACTATGATCCAAATGTCACCAATACTGATCGTATAATTGAAGCAGTAGAAGATTCTGGCTTTGGAGCTGATCTCATAAGCTCAGGGAGTGATGTCAATAAGGTGCATCTAAAATTAGAAGGAATTGGTTCTATTGAAGATTTGACTGTTATTCAATTCTCACTTGAGTCATTGGAAGGTGTGAATCATGTTGAGATGGGCTTTGAAGAGCATATAGTAAGCATCAGCTATGACCCAGACCTCACTGGTCCAAGGTCTCTTATACAGACGATCCAAGAAGCAGGCCGTGAGCCCAACTATTATCAGGCAAGCTTATTCATCGCATCAGGACGACGAGAAACAGAGAGACAACACGAAATCCAGCTATATAGAAACCAATTTCTGTGGAGCTGTCTATTTTCAGTTCCAGTATTCATTTTCTCCATGGTACTTCCAATGCTTCCTCCTTATGGTAACTGGTTGGACTATAAGATTAACAACATGCTCACTGTTGGGATGCTTTTAAGATGGATCCTGTGCACACCTGTGCAATTCGTCATTGGCCAGAGGTACTGACTGGTATATTTTTTGTTCAGATTCTTGTTATTGTTCTGAGATTGCCATTTTTTGTGATGTGGCAATGTGCAGGAAATTTCTTAAAATCAAATTGTCATTTTGGTTTTGAATTTCTATGCCAGGTTTTATGTGGGATCATATCATGCACTGAGACGGAAATCAGCTAACATGGATGTTCTGGTTGCACTGGGCACTAATGCTGCTTATTTCTATTCTGTATACGTAGTTATAAAAGCGTTGACTTCAGAGTCATTTGAGGGGCAAGATTTCTTCGAGACTAGTTCCATGTTGATATCTTTTATTCTCTTAGGAAAATATTTGGAAGTGGTGGCCAAAGGAAAGACGTCAGATGCTTTAGCAAAGTTGACAGACCTTGCGCCTGATACAGCTTACTTGTTAACATTGGATGGTGATGGAAATGTTATTTCAGAGATGGAAATCAGCACTCAGCTGATACAAAGGAACGACGCACTGAAGGTTGTTCCGGGGGCAAAGGTTCCTGTTGACGGGATTGTTATTGATGGCCAGAGTCATGTGAATGAAAGTATGATCACCGGAGAAGCAAGGCCAATAGCTAAAAGGCCTGGCGACAAGGTATGGGTGGTTTGTTTGCATGTGTATTTTTCATCTTCACCACATTTAGAAATGCTTGACATAGGATATTATATTTCTTACCCTAATGTCGTGAACAGGTAATTGGTGGTACCATGAATGAGAATGGATGCTTACTGATTAAGGCCACTCATGTTGGTTCAGAGACTGCACTTTCACAAATAGTTCAATTAGTTGAAGCTGCTCAGCTTGCCAGAGCTCCTGTGCAGAAGCTAGCTGACCAGATATCAAAATTTTTTGTACCTACTGTGAGTTCATATGCTTCTCAACAAAGAAGCCAATTTCGTTTGTTCTCTGCAGATCTTTAATAGTCAAATGGTTATCATAGGCTTTTGTGAATTTTTCACTATGTTTTAGTTGACGTTCTTAAGTGCAGATTGGAAAACTGGTCATACATTGTGAAACACATATTAGGCAATTAGCATCATGGGAACTTGGCAGATTATGGTGGTATGCTACAAAGAGGGAAAAACTTGCCATTCCATATGAAACTGCAGCACATGACTTTCTTAATGGCCTCAATGCCATTATTTTCTATGTTTTAATTGCTTGACATCAAGAGACAATTTCTGCCCATTTTGGTAGTAGTATTTAGCCACTAAATAAACAATGTAAATTTCAACTTGTTTAAATTTTTGGAGTTTTATAACTTCTGCAGTGCAGTTTGTATTGACTTTATGGTTAATGATAATTTTAATTCTCATCAATTCAGGGTGGGCTTGAACTATACATCATTCTATATCATTTCTAAAGCAACATTGCTACAATTTCACACTCCCATGTCAAGTGGCTTATCAGAAATGGGATGACAGTTTGTCTCCTAAATTTCAGGTTGTTGTTGCCGCATTTATAACGTGGCTGGGGTGGTTTATTCCTGGAGAAGCAGGGATTTATCCTAAGCGTTGGATACCAAAGGCCATGGATGGATTTGAGCTTGCATTGCAGTTTGGTATTTCAGTGTTGGTGGTTGCCTGCCCATGTGCTCTGGGATTAGCAACTCCTACTGCAGTCATGGTTGCTACAGGGAAGGGTGCTTCACAAGGTGTACTCATCAAGGGTGGAAATGCGATTGAGAAGGCATATAAGGTAAACTTTCTTAGATTATAGGGCTTGACATCTTATTTATAGGTTGCGGCTGGTGGTTGATACCATTTGCCAAGAAATAATAGATAATCCCCTCCAACTTTTTGAATTTGGAGACGCTGCAATTAGGAAGTAGGAACCATCTTTCTTGTGTACTTGGGAGTTGGAATAAATAAATTTGACATATGCTTTTGTAAGTAATACATTGATTACATATGAAGCTCAATATGTTGTACATTGTTGTTTGGTAATTTCATAATGGATGTTGGAATGGAGTGGCTTCCTTTTTCACTTTTTATGGAGGTCCTTCCCAGAAATTGGTCAATCCAGACAACTCAAATATCTTATTTATCCAAACACTCCATAACATAGCATTTGGGTATTGTCATCTTAAAAATATTTGCATCGAGAGATTTGTTCCCACTTAAACAGCTGACCCTTCATTGATTATAGTTATGCTTGCAGTGATTCAACTGTGTTTGGAAATGGGAGGATTTAAAACGTGATGAAACTTGTGCTTGAAGCAAAGGTTTTTGTTCTTGCCTGATCTAAATTCTTGAAGGGCCCATTTTTTTCCGGGGCCCACAGGTGTATCACAAGTCATCGGATGGGCATCATGCTTGCCAAATCTTAAGCTGGTTATGCGAAGTTGTTGGATATAATTGCAGTCTGATCCTTAAGAATTCTTTTGTGTGAGTGTGCACTTGCTTTTGGGTGTGTGCTCATCTATGTGGCTGCTATGTGGATGAGGTATATTTTGATCTCTTATGAACTTTGAAGTTGGCAAGCATGCGGTACTTGTGATCCAAAGGTGGGTATTGCAAATTGTGGGTCCTGAAAAAAAAAAGCTACAAAAAAGGGCAGTTTAAATCTGATATTCTACACTCGATGTAAGTTAATGCTGCTAGTACAAGCGTGTCATCAACACCATCATACGGGTGTCATAAATATATTGATCAAAGTCTTGTCAAGCTGCACTATTTTACTGCACTTAATCATTTCATCATATGGATTTTTTATATTGATTTGTTTCCACATCAAAAAATGACCTTGGTAGATTTATCTTGAGTTTTTCATGGAGGCATATTTGAATTGTGCAGGTGAAAATTGTTGTCTTTGACAAAACAGGGACATTGACAATTGGAAAACCAGCAGTAGTTAGTGCTGTGCTCTTTTCAAACATTTCTATGGAAGAGTTCTGTGACATGGCCGTTGCTGCAGAGGTGGGGTTCCTATATCCAGTGTCCTGATTTAATACGAAAATGCCAGCACATAACTTTTGCTTTCTAACTAAAATATAGGCCACCGACAAAGATGGCAAGATTTCAAGTAATTATCAAATACCTAATGATGAATCTGAGTTTCTGGGGGAAAAAAAAAGGAGTTGGGATGATAGGTGATGCGTGATACATGAAAGGAAGCAATTTCTGTCATTGTGCAATTATTTTGAATAATCCCAGAGGTTGCAAATGACATAAGAAATATGGTACAATAGGAAATATTCCCACAATACACACACTTGCATATAGACATGAAGATTATGCAAATTTTGAATCAAATATCATAAATAAAATTTCATAAAGGATCTGTGAACGTTAAATAATACACAAATTTATTTACCAAAGTCTAACTATAAGAGGCATTAGTACCTTTCAAAAATTGGTCGAACTATGTGATGCTGCAGGATGTGACTATGTGAACTTCATTAAAAAAAATAACACCCAATTAGTCCCCATTACAATGTGAACTTAGTGTGTTTCAAAGTTGTCTTCAGGCAAATAGTGAGCACCCTGTAGCAAAAGCTGTAGTGGAGCATGCTAAGAAGCTATGCCAGAAGCTTGGATCCAAAACTGAGCACTTCACTGACGTAAAGGACTTTGTGGTGCACCCAGGAGCAGGGGTGAGTGGAAAAGTTGGAGACAGAGAAGTCTTGGTTGGGAACAAGAGGCTTATGAGGGATTGCAATGTTCCAGTTGGTCATGAGGTTGAGGACTACATTTCAGAGAATGAGCAACTTGCTCGTACTTGTGTGCTAGTTGCCATTGATGGTAGAGTTGCTGGAGCTTTTTCTGTGACTGATCCGGTGAAACCTGAGGCTGCTCGTGTCATAGCTTATCTCCACTCTATGGACATCTCAAGTATCATGGTGACTGGTGATAACTGGGCAACTGCAACTGCAATTGCGAAGGAGGTTGGAATCCAGAAGGTTTTTGCTGAGATGGATCCATTAGGAAAAGCCAATAAGATAAAAGATTTACAGGTAAGTCTGCATTGCATGATTTCAAAGCTTTAAATGATTGTAGTGGTCAACCAGAAGTGCTTAATTAGTATAAATGATTGGAAAGTAATTATACTGTCAAATCCAAGGAGGCCATTGACAAAGTTACCGTTGGTCTAATTAACGAAAATTGGGACAAAATTATAAAACTAAGATTCAATGTGATACATTATTTTCTGGCCTTAGCGTTATGAAATGAAGCTTTACAATTTTATGTGGCCTAGAAACTCTTTTCCTTTTTGTTTTTTTTCTTCTCTTCTGTCGATCACACGAAGCTGATGGCACAACAGAGCGGCGGTCGCAGGCAGACGTGCAGTGGCTTTCGTGGTGTGTTTCAGGATTCCAACTGCCGTCATTATAGCCTATGAAAGAAAATGAGTTTTCTGCTAGCAGTGAATTTTATGTACTTCCATAAAAGGTAAAATGGTTATTGGCTATCACTTTGGTGGGCTGCGTCTCTAAACTAAATACACTACACCTCAATAGGTCGTACAAAACATTCCTGTTGTACTGTTGACAGTTTGTTATTGTCAATGCTGGACTTGAGTGTATCAGGACTTTGGACCAGCATGAAGTTATTACCATTGGGGTTCAGACACATAATTGTTCTCCCATTAAGTCTAAAAAAGGAAGATAAATTTGTTAGTGGGGATATCTGGTACATAACTTCATTAATGTGAAGTTCTAAATTAGAAAAATTCCTAATTCTCCTTTGGGGGCTTCGACAGTTGCTGGAGAACTCGCTTTTAGGAAAAACGTATTAGTAGCTTAAATGCCAGGGGACATCCTATCTAATGCATATTGGAGTAGTTATCATGGACAAAATTATTCTCAAGTCCAAATATAAGATTAAGAAAGGGATTTGATAAAACACAAAATTAGAAGTCATAAAAATGTGGAAAATGGAAAATTGGATAAACTGAATAGCTAAGAGTATGACTATTCATACGGTGCATGCATGCAGTCCATTAAGAAGTAGGTTATCTTCCCTCTGCTGGGTAGGTAGAAATTGCAAATAAATGTAATACAGTTGACATGGCTCTTTGCTTATTTGAACTCAACCATGATGCAGATGAAAGGTACCACTGTGGCTATGGTGGGAGATGGAATAAACGATTCACCAGCCTTAGTTGCAGCTGATGTTGGCATGGCCATTGGTGCTGGCACTGATATAGCAATAGAAGCAGCTGACATAGTTCTCATCAAAAGCAACTTGGAAGACGTAGTTACAGCAATAGATCTCTCTAGAAAGACGATTTTCCGTATCCGGCTTAACTATGTCTGGGCACTTGGCTACAACGTGCTTGGCATGCCAATTGCTGCCGGAATTTTATTCCCTTTCACTGGAATCCGTTTACCCCCTTGGCTTGCTGGTGCTTGCATGGCTGCGTCATCCATTAGCGTGGTTTGTTCATCACTCCTCCTGCAGTCATACAAGAAGCCTTTGCACGCTGATGGTGCTTGAGGGCCAGTTAACTAAACAAATCCTGTTAGAATTTGCATCCCGGAGATTCTTAACCATTCTAGCTTTAGAATTCTGTTTAGTTCAGCAGCATCTGTTGTGAATTGACTGGTTATTTGCATCACTTTATTGGTACAGAGTCGTGTAACAAAGTTTTGCAAACAAAATAATGTCAAATTCTAAATCCTTGATTTGGAGATATCAACTCATCTTAAGAAGGGCTTTTGTTAGCATAGACTGCTCTTATACTCGTATGATCTTTTCACTGATAGTGTAAGATTGCAGAAGGTTTGATGTTAACACATGCTAGCTATTCTCTGGTATCAGTTACCAAATTATGGTAAGCTTTTGGTTTTATTTTATCTATATCGTGATTTCTGATTTATTTTACTAGATGTTGTTGTTTACCTAAAGTGTGCATGAATTCACACTTTCAATAAGCCCGTCTTTTAAAATTGGTGAGTTTTTTTATTTTTTGGTCAGTATATAAACTAAAATTTTTTGGTCAGTATTTAAATTTGGTGAGTTGAAAACATACTTTTATGTGAACAATGGTAGTCGTGAAGTCAGATGCGAGAATAGTTCAAGGGCTTAAGTTTTCAACTTACTGAACTTATTTTATGGCTTTGTCTTTCCACCGTTAGAGCATTTTCAACAATGTTATCTAAAATAATTATTCAAAATATATTTAAATATTGTATTATCTATTTTAACTAACCACTTTTTCAAATTCACTCCAATAATGCTATCTATTTTAGTTAATCAATTCAACTAACTTTAATTAACTTTCAATAATAAAATTCAAAAAATAGCAATTCAACTATACATTGTACAAATTTAATCAATTATGGGCTACAAGAGTAAATATCATAAAAAATGGTCTACAATAATAAATATCATAAAATACATGGGGGGGGTTTGGTAGATTTTTTTTCACTACAAAGCCTCTCCGATCAAGCCCACAAATTTTACAATGAATTAGATCAAAACCCTCCCACGATTCTCAATACCCCCAAAAAATTTGAACAGAAAATCCACAGATGAGCCTCTCAGATGAAGCCTTTCAGGTAAAAACCCACAAATTTGAACAGAAAATAAATAGATGAGCTACAAATGGATCGATTACCATGAAAATCAATTTGAGCTACTCACGAAACCCAGATGAGCTACACATAGTATTCAATGTCCCCAACAAATCAATTTGGACAACTCTATTTATCGAATCCAATGTCCCCAACAAATTAATTTGAACAGAAAATATGCAGACGAGCTACAAATGAATCAATTCTCACGAAACCCAAAAGAATCGATTCTCACGCAACCCCATTCTGAGAGAGAGACAGAGCCCATACTGGTGGAGCCTCAGTCCGTGGTGTCTTCTGCGATGAAGCTTCAGTGAACTTTGAGTTGTGGAGCAGGGTACTGTAGAGCTTTAGTGAGAGAGAGAGAGATAGATACGGGAGAGAAGATTGACGCCAGCGTGGCGAAGGGAGCTAGTTATTACCGGTGAGTGAAAAGAGGGCTAGGGGAAATAGATAGTAAAATAACTAGTCTCTTGGAATCAGATTTGAGGAGGAAGCTAGCTAAAATAGCAAATCAAGGCTTTTTAACAAGCTTGTTGGAGATGCTCCTTAGATTTTAAATGTGTTTGTTTTGTCTGTGACCGTCGGTGTTGTTAGTATTGTACTAACTGTTAGATTGTGGGTGTTTTTTTTTGTTAGATGGATTGTGGGTTCAAAGTGACGATGGTATTGTGCAACAAATTGATCTATATTATTTTCATTTTTCTAAAAATTACTGATTAATAATGATTAAACTAGGTAGTAGGTTATAGGTAGTTATGATAGTCTGTCTATTGTATTGAATTATAATTTTTCGGTATTGTGCATTCATTTTTTATTCAATAAAAACATGTGGTGCAAAATTTTTATATGTAATTTATCAAATTTTATCAATAAATGATTATAAATCATCTAATTTTTTTTTAAAAAAAGATGGATTACACTGTGGTACCATTTTCAATACGTTTGTCATATTCTATATATTTATTTCCCATCAAATTTCAAAAAACAATTTTGTTGTAATATATGTTTGTTTGCCTTGGTTTCTAGTTATGTTGTAAAAATTTAAACCAAAATCGTAAAAAATACAAAATGATTGTATGTGTTTTTTTCACAGTTAACTATGAAGTGTAGTGTCATAATCAGATCAACAAGTTTAATTAAATTAGTTGGTGCATACGTGCATTGCATGTGAACCATTTCGAGTTATTATTTTTAACAATGTATTACTTGACCAAATTATTTTTGAAAGACCTTACATTAAAATATAAATAATAAGCTAGATTTCAAGTTAAAGGCACATGATCTTTAGGTTACCAAACTTGCTCGTACCATAATATTATTATCTAATAAAAAATATCCAAGATGATGATATGAAAATCAAACTCTACATACAATTGAAATGACAACCTTGCCTTTTCAAGAGAGAGAGATAGTAACAAATTGATATAACCATGAAATATTGTCTTTCTAAAGACTATTGTTAAAAATGATCAACTATTCAGTATTGTTCAATACTTCATTAAATAATTAGTCTCAAACTCTCCAGCCAAATCTATTCCCAGCTTCTCAAATGAAGTTCCTACCAATTTACATCATATATGAATTAAGTTCAATGGTGTATACACGATTTTCAAAAGTCAAAAGAAAAAATTATATCAAAAGGCTGAAGAATATTAGTTCTTAGTTGTAACAAACCTATAGATTTTGAAAGCATGTTCATGGCCATTTATGTTCAAAAAATATTCATTTTACCATCAGTCCCAGCCACCATACCTTCCAGCTCAGAGAACGATCAATTTGACTAGCAACATATAAAGCTAATCCAGAGTCATTAGCACACAAATAACAAAACAAATCAAATAACATTTTCAAAACTACATCAATTGAAAATGAGAGTTATTTTTGGAAATCACCCCTTCCATCTTTCCAAGATCCAAGCCCTCAAAGTTTTTCAATGTTAAAAATAGTGGTAAAGTGAATTGTCAATGGCTATCTGCCGGATGAATTAATGTTTGAATGAGTTTTTTTAAATTCCAACTCCATGGCCCAAAGTGAATGAAAATTAATGAGATTGATTTTATTAATATTAATATAACAACTCAACCATCACGAAATTTTTTTTAGAATTAAAATAGCAACCAATGACTTAATTCAATCCACATAAATGTGACAATAATTTAATAACGTTATTAACTATAAAAAAATATGATAGACATTAGTTATTTTGTTAAGGTTATTTTTGTCAAACAAAAAATTTTCACTTTTGTTGACATTTTAAAATAGTATAGATAACAACTCAACCATCACCAAATTTTTTTATAATTAAAATAGCAACCAATGACTCAATTCAATCCACATAAATGGGACAATAATTTAATAATGTTATTAACAAAAAAAAGATATGATAGACATTAGTTATTTTGTTAAGGTTAGTTTTGTCAAACAAAAGTTTTTCACTTTTGTTGACATTTTAAAATAATATAGTACTAGCAATTGTCCGTGCCTGAAGGCATGATATTGCTCGTAAATTAGTTACAAATATTTGCTCATACATAAATGTAAAGTAAAATATAACATTATAGTAAACGATGAACAAAATGAGTCTCATAATATTTTTTATAACATTAACCTATATGCATATCATATATTTCCACATTAAATTGTTACGTCACGAAAATTATGTTACAACTACTGAAACATAATAATGCAAACATCTGAAAAAAATATCAGTTGACAATATTCAATGTTCTATTTTTGATTCAAAATTCACGATGTTAACATTCATAATCAATTTTATCTAAATAATAACATAATTCATAACTAATAGAATGAAAATTAAAACAATACTCCCACAAATAAACTAAGTTTGCAGATGTTGTCAAATGACCAAATATAACTATTAGAAATTTAACCGACTTCCAAAAATTACGACCTGACTATTAAATTTGTATGATTCGAGTTTATATTAGTGCTTTTAATTTTATATCATTCTTCTCGGTTATTTACATTCTTAGTATATTTTTTTAAACTAAACGTTATTTAGTATTGGATTATTTAGTAAAAATTGTTGTTGTGTTGTTTACTAAATATTGAATTTGTATGATTCGTGTTCGTAGTATTGCTTATAACTTTGTATCTTTTTTCTCGCTTGTAATTTTGTATCATTTTTCTCGGACATTTAGATTTAGGTTATTTAGTAAATATTGTTGCTTTGTGTTGTTTACTAAATATTGAATTTATATGATTCGTGTTTGTATATGAATTTAATCTTGTATATTTTAAATGTTAAACATATTTTCTTTAATATATCTCTTAATATCTGAGTTACCCAATAATTTGAATTTAATCTTGTATATTTTACATATTAAGCATATTTTCTTTGTTAAATTAGATTTTTTGCAAGTTATGTTTTTTTTTTATTGATTATGGAAAAATAAAATTGACTATTAAATTTATGAGTCGTGTTTGTAGTATTATTTGAATGAAAGAGAGAGATACAAAAGAATATTTTTGTGATATATACTATCTATCTAATATTTATTACATAATTTTTCTTTAGAAAGAGATACAAAAGAATATTTTTGTAATATACTATCATCTCTGTAATATATACTATCTATCTATAGAGAGATATAGTATTTGCATGAATCAGACACTATCTAATATTTTCGTGAGATACATATAAAAATATTGTGAAAAATTGATACTTTTTGCACTAATTAAGCGTGAGAGAGAGAGAGAGATACCGAAGAATGTGTGAGAGAGAGATTTGCTTGATTTAAGAAAAGATTTGGGAGAATTAAATTTTGAAATATCAATTTTAAAACTATAAATTTTGAGCAGTAAAAATATTTCAAAAGAGTTAATGTGGTACGTCGAATCAAAACGATCTAAGATGTCAATAGCTCGAGACACGTCCGTTTGATGATGCTTTTTTTGGTCACGAAACGATCTAGACCACTCTTTGTCTCCAAAATTTAAATTCGTTCTACTTTATTATACTAGTTGGTGCACACATGCGTTGTACGTGGATCAATTTATTGCAATAAACAAACAATTATAATAACATACATATTGACAGCGCCCAACATTAGATAAATCCAATCATAAAATTGTCTCCATTGACAACTATACATTGCGTAACATGCAATCATTCTTAATATAAGTAGAAGGAGAGCAAAATTTAAAACAAAAAAAAACAAATAGCTTTGAACTTCTACCACTTTTAAGAAGACCATTTAAGAACAACTATTTTCTTTATTATAATGGTTGTAGAAATATAAATGTCACGAACAACCTATGATTGAGGAATCCCCTTGACCATTTGTGTTACTCATGTACAGGTGAACCACATGTAACTTCAAATCCAATGCTCTTATATTAGACAAATGATAACTCCACACACAAACATGTAATTACAAGATGGTGATATGCAAGGTCATGTAATTAAAGTCATCCTAAAGGATTAGAGAAGGAAAGGCCAGTTACATTCATGATCTTTGGCAGACATTGTTTCTAATGAAAACAAAATCAAAGCACTAAATGGCAATTGTCTAACCAAAAAGGTAGATTGAAGTATTGCCACATAAATATGTATTACGGTCCTTACATTTTACAACCCAGCATAAACAGTTAGTAGTCTGCAAATATAGTTATTCCTGTGAATGCAATACCAAAAACAAAAATTATAATAATACATTTGGACCAATAATCAGGGTAGCTGGTGACCGTGAACCTAATAAGGCACCTATATTACGAAGTTATCTCATGGAGTAAAAAAGATTTCCAAAAATATGATCACATTGATCAATTACAACTGCTTGAAGACACACATAAGAGCACATATATTATATTAAGATATGAAGGCACATGCACACACAAAAAAACCAAGCACATCAAAAAAAAAATTAAAAATTTTTAAATCCAAAAAACACTCAATTGCATAGTATATCATAATCACAATAAAGAGAACCAATATATGTAGTAGCTGAAAAATTATAGAAGACAAGAAAATGCAAAATTTTTATGGTTTTAAATTTTGTCATTCTGTAGTAGTTCATGCCCACTAACTCAAGTCCTAGATTTGGTAAAGTTAATATAGTTATGTGACTCGATGTAGTTACTAATTCAATGTACAACAATATAGCGTAGAACTATTGCTGTCTAAAAGTAATAGTGACTTTTCAACAAATAGTGTGCACTATGGACATAAATATAATTTTCATGTCAACTTCGAGAAACTCCTAGAAGACGCAAAGAAGAGAAGTAAATTGTATTTTACAAATGTTCTCAATTGTATATTTTGATCCCTACAGGTGGTAGACCACTCATGATGAGAAAGTAGTGTGAATTTATCAAGAAATGGAACAAGAGTTGAGGCAGTCCAATGATTGCCACATAAAATTTGTAGCTGTTTTAAAACAAATTGAAGCTTAGAAGTTTCTCCACACACAGTTGCGAACAAGAACTTGTTGCAACATTCCAATCATTCTTATTTCTCAAACTGTCACAAAGAAACTGAGGTACCTGACACATGAATGATTTTTTTACTGCTCTGAGCCTTCTGCTAGTTATCCAATTGAAAAGGAGACCTCCTTATCAGTACTCAGATTTCATGAGCTTACTATGGAGCAAACTGGAAAACAAAATTGACTACCTCATATTTTAGGAGCACAACACTAAACAACCAAACCAAACAAATTTATTCACATCCATATCTTCCACCTTACTCTAGATATGCACTCCTATAAGCATATATTGATAATACTCCATCAGCCACACATAAAAACTTGACACTTAATTTGCAACATTCATTATCCTCTCTAAATTTCTCTCTAACCATTAATATACAAGAATAATTCAACTAAAAAAATTCATATTTCATGTTAAAAATGGCATGTTCTCTAATGCTTTTGGAATAAGCATTGGAACTGTTTATTACCAGGAAACATACTAAAGTAGTTTGACATAAGCTACAAACCAAGTACTTTGACATAGCTAAAACCAAAACATTCGGATTTTACCTTCTCTTCTACAATAGGAATGACATCACAAGCACAAGTAGGAATGGCAACAAGTTCAGCATCAACAAAGGATGGACCACCAAGGCCAATGTCCATTAGAATTGATAAGAGAACGTCCTCTGTAATTAAGAACAACAGTAAGCTAGAATATTTTTTGGGAGCTCTGATCACTAAACCCAAGACTCTTAAGAAGATTGCAAAATTTGAGGTGAAGAATGAGAGAGAGAGAGAGAGAGAGATAGAGAGAGGCAGAAGATTAGACTATAATTAAATCCAGAAAGAGAGGATGAAAGACTATAATTAAATTATGATTAAAGGACGAGAGAGAGAACCAAAAGGATGACCTTCAATGTATCAATATCTAGCAGTGACATTTGGTAATTAGCTTATGTTTACGGAATGGCAAAGGGAGCAAGGCATATGCGTGTGATGATGAATTATATTACTGTAAAACATCATTTGGTCAAATTGGCCAAAAAATAAAATGAAAGTAATTAATAATCCCCGATACATACCCACTATGAGTCTCAATTTGCTCAACCTAATCCACAACCAGAACGTAATCATGTCCCTCAGAACCATAGCAAGTCTGAGAAACGGCAAAATTTCGAGGATCAATACCTCTGCCCAGTGCACGTACAGGGCTGCAAAGCCAATTGGCGTCGTATACCCGTGGTGAACCCCATGAATCTTCTCGTAACCCTACTTGTAATGCAAAAACAGATGGATCCAATAACTGATGTAATCGTCATATATCGCCAATTGCATCACAATTTCCCTCAACAACAGTAATGGCAGGCTCGTCCGAATCCCAATCATCTGCAAATTCACTTGTGATTTTCAAATATTGATACTAAAATCGACAATACAAGATTGACAAATGAGAAGCAATAATTGTTGTCAGAGTAGGAGAGCTTGTTGGCAATAATTGTTGTCGACAATACAAGATTGACAACGAGGATGAACATGCGCATCACGTTTCTGTAACATCGGAAGGAATCAGAGTAGGAGAGCTTGACCATAGGTTGGATTTTTTGTAACTAAATTACTGTAATTGAAGAAAATTGGGAAAATTGGCAAAGGTGTAGAACCTGGGTTGTATGGAGAAGACCTTAAATCTTCCACTAACGAGTTGTTGGGCCTCAAATGCAGAATTAAAGAGAGATGGAGAGGGGAAGGTGAAGGGGAAGGTGAAGGTGAAGGGAGGGTTGTGCTGATTTGTCAAAACACAAGGAGAGAGAGAGAAAGAAACGGTTGAGAGGAAGCACAAGAGAGAGAGAGATTTTTGTAACTAAATTACTGTAATTGAAGAAAATTGGGATAATGGGCAAAGATGTAGACGCTGGGTTGTATGGAGAAGACCTTAAATCTTCCACTAAGAAGTTGTGGGGCCTTAAATGCAGAATTAAAGAGAGATGGATTGGGGAATTGAAGAGAGGGTTGTGCTGATTTGTGAAAACACAGGGAGAGAGAAAGTAACGGTTGAGAGGAAGCACAAGAGAGAGATTAATGATTGAAAATTACGGAGAGAGTCAGCAATTAAATGTGAAGGATATGAATGACATAAATGTATTGTTGGAGGATAATAGTGGAAAAAAATGTTTTTTGGGTATACTGATTTTTTAGAGTAGCATAGATATAGATAGGTAGACATAGATATAGATTTGCTTATTAGGACTGTCCTATTTTAATATAAGCATAATCCAATTATTTTTCTGTTAAAAAGTGTTGGTCCTTTTTTACACTAACTTGTTTAGGTTCAAGCCAATCACTTGAAATCCTCAACCAGACACCTCCAGTATTGCTATACCAACCAAAGGCCAGTCTCTTTGTGCCGAACCGTCCATGCTTTTTCTTCTAATAGTAGATGCACACGTGCGTTGCACGTGGACTATAGTTGATCGAAATTATTATTGACAATGATTACATATGGACGGCAGCACCAAAAATTTGTATGTTGAAGGTTTTTGATGTATAATAAAACACTATGATTTTGTTTTGGAATCCATTGAAATTATCCTCCATTGAAGATGGCTACCTTTTTTCTCATGTAGTTTGTTCATGAAAAGTTTTGTGACACTATCCAGTGGCAATTTTTGTTTAATGGCAAGACAAAACAAAGAAAATTGATGAGATTAAGACTCGGAGTTTTATTGATGTTTTAATGCAAACACAAAAATGACACTATTAAGCATAAGCATAAGCAAATCTCTAATGATGGGCTGGAAAAAAATTTAGTAGTTAAACTAAAAATAATGTCCCCAACTGGAGTACTTGAGTTGATGGTAGTTTTCATCTAGAATATACAACCTGAAACTCTGCTTTGGTTTACAATCCTCTCTGATCCAAAGGGTCAACAACATAAATTTGGAATGATAAAAAAACAAAGAGATCAACAAAGAGACGGAGTTTAGAAACTGCATTATGAGCATCAATTATAGTTCTTTGCTACTTTGCATTGACATGGCCAATGATAAATAAATAGCTAATTATAGGCAAAGAGAAATTATGTAGAAAACCCCAGTAATAGTTTATAATAGCTAAATTAAAGGAAAAGAGAAGTCGGGGACATAATTTCCCCCTCTCTCTCTCTCTAGGACAAATAAATAGTTAATTAGACATCTTAATTGATGTCTGATTCATACAATTTCTCATATTGGCCAATTAGTTGAGTTTCCTAATGTCTGAAACTTAGGAAGGTGTCCTGGGAAACTTAATTGATTTGGCCAAGTTTCTTATGTCACAAATAAATCGAGACAATATCTTCATATTTATTTTCTGCTCTTTTTCATTTGTAATCATATAATTGTCTCATCAAACTCCATTCGATTTTAAATAAATCTAATACTACAACTCTCTTTTTTTTTTTGAAAGGTAATATTACAATTACCTCACTAAATAGCAAATATAAGAATCGATGTTCAATTTTATGAGTTGAGAACCTAGAAATCAACTTTCAAGTTTTTGGTCAAGTCTTGTATTTTTTTAGCAACAAAAATGAAAGAGTTGTTCACAGAAAATTGTTAGTACAATCAAGTGAACACAAATTTAGAAAAACCATAAGTTATATCTAAATTTTGTCTTTTGAGTTCAAGAGGCAAATAAGATTTATGCTTATTTCCAAGGGTGGTGAACGCTTTGCCAATAGATAACCGATCTACTTGTGTACGTAGAAAGGCAAGAAAGTTTTTTGAAGCAAGAATTGTCCCTGTGATTTCGAACAGCCTCTGTAGATGCACATGTATTTGATCAATTTGAAATTATAATACAAAATGCATAGTTTAGTTTGAGGAATTAACCACTTTACCTTAAGGAAATCTAGTCAAATAGATTTGCACCAGCTATACTCATTGAATAGGTTATAAGTAAAACTCAACATTTGGTCATGCATTTCAAAATTGTGGGAAAAAAATCAAGAAACAAGTGTGAGAAGAAAAAAGAATACCATTAATTTGCAAACAAAATATATATCTAATTACAATAAGAAAAAGGGAACACGACGAAGTCCGAAAATATAGAACACAGGCACCCCAAAGATATGGCTAATTAAAATAACAAAACATTGTTTTGGACAATAATAAAATTATAATATATTATATGCAAAATATATTTTATAACAATATTAATAATAAGACCTAATAAATATTAATTTTTTTGATTAAAATTGAAATAGATCAAAGTAAACATCCAGCATTTTCATCAAACATCATTACATACATAATATATATTTTATGTAACAAAAAACACAAAAAAATCCAACCAAACTACAATCATTTTATAAAAAAATTGATTTTGTCTGATTGAGCTAATTATTCATGACACTTCTAACAATATCAGACACGTGTCTGGCCGTGTCCGACGCATATCCATGTCGAACAAGTGTTCGACATTGCCACGACAACCTCAAGAAATATACAATCTTCTTATCTCGCAACTGACCCATTATTTTGATTTGTTGTTACTATGTGCTGCCTCACCAATGAATGGGATATCACAAGCTTCCATTACCCAAAATTGGTGATTTGAATTAATTTTCTATTATAATCCTTGAGGGTTGTATGGAACATTTATAAACCTGATTGATATAGACACTACATATACTTTTAAACACAAACCAATGTCAGCCCCTTTTGTTTATAAGCTCAGAAGAAAAAAACGCAAAGATTGTGAAAGTGTATGTCAGTTCATACCTGGATGTGTCCAATAAAATCAATAGATTTGATAACAATAATTTTCTGCATAGCCTCCGAGCACTCAATCCATCTTGTATGGAACATTTGAGAGCTCATTCTTTATTCATAGCCAATCGCCACTCAACCATTTTCTTACTTATCTCTTTCTTCAGCGCAACCCACTCTAGAGAACATTCATTCCTTCAAAGAATTCTATATAAAGTGTCTTCAGTTGGATCTGCATTAGGATTAGTGCTAATGCTACTCCTTGAAAAACAACATTCATATTGCCAATTTCTGACCTACCCAAATGCAAACACGCCATGTGCATAAGGATAGAGTCATTTCAGCAAAAGCTTTAGCCAATTAGTACTAATGCCAATTCATTTCCAGTATATAGAAAATTTTCAATTCTTATTTTCAACCAAAAGAGAAGAAAGAAGGCAATAGTCACTGACAAAGTAGTGTTGACCAAGGAGTTTGGGTGGAAGTTTACAATCATTGACGACATCTATAAAAGATGAGAGACGATCAACTATCTTCTTATTGGCTTTTGGAGACAGAGAAGAAGTCGAATGGCCAAGATGAGGTTGCAAATGTACAAACAAGATGTGTCTCCATAGCTGCAAGTTGTCGAATTTGGAGTTGGGCCTTTCTACATCCTATTTTCTCGATTATTGGCTTCACACTTCTTTCTACGTTGCCTATTGAAAATGTGATTACAGCCCAACAGTCATTTACCGAAGAGTCGACATAACGGTTAGAGAAATTGAAAATGTGATTGTAGATCAACAGTCTACCCAAGAGTCGACATAAGGGTAAGAACTATTAATATTGGAATTAACAACAAAAAAGATAGGATAGGTATCACTTATTTTGTAAAGATTATTTTGATCATTCAAAAGTTTTGCATAATTGTTGACATTTATAAGAAAGAACCTTTATTCGTATCTGTATGACAAACTGAAAGACATGTAACTGCGAATGAAAAACAGAAGCAACAATCCTATAACCAAATGAATAGCAGAAATGCATTTCAAATAATGATTACCCACTATGCCTAGAACAAAAAAGCTAACAAATCATAAAACAACCCCCCCCCCCCCCAAACAAAAAAAAAAATCCAACCCCAAAACCAGAATCAAGAAAACTAATTAACAAAGCAAATATAACAAAGAATAGAGGATATGCTTGAAGCACAACAACCATTGAGCACACAAATAAAATAACAAAATCCTAATCGAATGAAGATTGAAATCAAGAAAAGGAGAAAACCTCAACAAAGCAATCATGGAATTAGAGGCACAAGAATTCAAGTCAACCATCTTGTTCTTTAGCCATGACAGAATTCCCTGCAACGTGAAAAAACGAAAAGCCTATTGACAACTCATGAAAAGAACTGAAATGATATCTCAAGTATTTGCAGAAAGAGAGCCCATTAAATTCTCGAGAGAACAGGAAACATAATAAGGAATCAGCAAAATAAAAAAGCAAGAAGACTTCAGTTGACAAGCATTTCGACAATGATGAATACTCTAAAAGCTAAAAAAACAATGGATTTGATAGCAATTATTTGAACTTAAGTGGGAGAGTATTTTGAAAACAATAAGTGGAATAGCAGCTAGCAAAAGAAAACATAAATAATTAAGATAGTTGGAATACACTAACAATGCGTTTGGTACGCTGAAATGCTTTTAAGTGGGAAAGTGATGGACATGAGAATTGAATTAGTTTAGCAATGAAATGAAATATACATTACCATTCCAATATTTGACAATTACTTGGGGATCAAGTCTTGTAATGGAATGCACATTTCATTCCAACGTTTGGATAAGATAATTCTTATTGGAATGGAATAAAATGAAATTTAAAATATTTTTTACTAAAATGGAATTAAATTTAAACAAAATAAAAAAAATTTACTATAAAATTTCAACTTAATTTGCGTAACATCCTCTCATACGAGGAAATTTTTTTTAGAAAAAGTGATTTTTTTTTCAAAGTTAGATTTTTATTTATTAAATCACCTGAAAAATCAATGGGACATACATTACATAAAATCATACAAAAAAAAACCTAAAAAACAACCATAAATTTATTCCACTCTAAATTTTAATAAATAGAAATTAGCATATAAATTAAATTTTCATTAATGTACAATAGAAATAATGTGATTTACATGAATACCTATAATAACAAAAATAAAACGAAGCATCTAACATCGGAAAATCGGAAAAGAAAACATTTTTCCATACCAAATTGCTAGAGTCTAGTGCTACTTCAGAATTTGGAAGCAACACAACAATCAAAACCAATATTTGAAAGTACCAAGTCTCCATGCACAAAAGAAATCCCATAGTCTAAAAATGCAAGGACACTAAATACCTTCCAAGTTTGCTTCCATGGATCATTGATCACTAACCAAAATGTACATAAATTGTGCCACCATTATGATCCACCATGATAAGCTCAATACCAGTGCAGCTCCCAGTAACCCCCACCCGAATTGGAACAACACGAGCCATTCATTAAAATGTGTACAACCAGTGTGGCTGCTGAATACTCTACGCTTGAAGGAATTTTTGGATGGGGAAATTGGTTGCATATGCAAATATTGCGGGATGAGACATAGGTACCAAAAGTGATTAGTAGACATAGATCAAAGGTTGAGGCATTTGTAAGCACCAATCGAAGATCCAATCTTACCCACCCACCCCCTCCCCCCCCCAAAAAAAAAAAATCCACTCCAAAAGTCCCTAACACTCCAAACAACATTTGAATAAGTTGGAGGCCACCTCAATAACCAGTCATGAAGGCAAAAAGAAGGTCAATTTTTCTTCTATTTCTATCAGGCATTTTGACAAACACCTAGCCTGCATAATTCGTCAATTACAGGAATGAATGGTTTCATATGCATAAAATCTAGTTCCATATCTCGAATTAGAATAGAAAAAAAAAATCTGAAAAATTAAAGCAAAATCAAGAGACAAACTCACGTTTGAAAATGAAAAAAAAACTCACAAACACTAAAAATTCAAAGTTGGATCTAAAAATTAATGACTAAATTTAGCAAAAAAATATCTGAGATTGGTAGACTAAAATTTTTGTGATTCTAACCTCTTATTTGTTATGGGAATCATGGCATCCGGGATCAGATGTTAATGGAACGATAAGATATGGACAACCGAACGGCTGTCAATGCATAGAATGAAAAATAAATCAAGAGGCTATTAGACTATTACAAAATGAAATTAGAGATGTTGTCAATACTTGGCCATTTCTTTTTCCAGAAATGCAGAGAACTCTAGTACAGCATAGACTGGCATGTAAAATTATGGTTCTCCAACATGGCACCGTCAAATGCCTCTGATCAAATAATTGACAAATTAAAGAACAACAAATTTATGTACAAAAACGACAATATGAAAGGCCAAAAATGAAAACCTGGTGGCGTCCCGTCATTTTGCTTCCTCCCAAACAAGGTATTTGCCATAATTTGGAGGAATTTCGACAGGTGAAAGTAATTGGAGGCTTGATGAGTTCCAACGAAACTATTAAACTTTTGTAATTGAATACATGTAATTAAATAAATTTGGGGAGAAAGAGATTTAGAGGGGGACGGTGAAGGGGGTGGTGTGCTCTTCTCTGAATTTGCAGGAGACAGAGACAGAGAGAAAAAAGGGAGAGAAAGTAGGAGAGAGGGAGAGGGTGTAACGGCTGAGAAGTAAATCCCAGGGCAGTAAATTTGAGAAAGGAAATAGGGAGAAAGAGATAGAGACACGGAGAAGGAAGACGAAGAGAAGTGGCTGTTAATTTGCAGGAGTCAGAGAAAGTCGGAGAGAGGGAGATAGTGTAACGTCTATATGAAGGTGATAGAGGAAATTGGGAGAAAAAGAGAGAAGAGAGAGAAAATAGGGACGGAGTGATATAGGAATAGAGTGAGACAGGTTAACGCTGGTAGCTGAGGATATGTATGATATAATTAAAATGTTAGGCGATTAAATTGAAAATATAATTTTTCCCATTTTGATTTTTTATAGTAGTATAGATAGATATAGATTTAGGCACGCGCATGCACAGACCTGAGACCTCCCTCCAGTCCCCTACCCTTTGATTTGGATCAAATTAGAGCTTATGCGAGTGCAATGGCAAAAAGAGGGCCAACTAAAAATGATTTGGAGGTTAAAAAACCCAATTAGACACCAAAAAAGACTATGCCAAAGATAGGGATGATGGGGGGAAGAAAAAGGAGAAAAGGAAGGAGGGGTTTAAGCTGATAATGATGACAAACTAAATTTTAATGAGAATGAATATTAGATGAACTAGGAAGATGATGATCTAGGGTCTCGGTTTTGTAATTCACCACCTTCTTTGCATTCTATTTCAATTTCTAAGCCTAACAAATCTCTGTCACTTGCAATAGGTCAGAACGGTATGAATTATTTCATTGTAACTTCGATCGTTATCGATGAAAAATAAATTATTTAAGAAATTTTAAGAGATTTCACCACATCAACAACGAGCGAGAGTGAGAGGGGATAGACAACTGGAAATTAATGTATGAATGCCAAGGGGAGCATTTTTGTAATAAATAAAAAATAAAATAATTAGTTTGAACTAGAAAACAAAAAAATTTAGTTGAATTGAATTTGATGACTTAAAAAAGTCCTTGTTTAGGCTAATTGATAAAATAGATCACCAAAGTTGAAGTATAGATAATTTTCAAGAACAATCTACCTAGAGGATTTAGAATGTTCAATATACAAATGACTAAGTCTCATCTTTGTTTAGGTATTTTGTGTTACTATTTAAGGTTCATTTAGTCTATAATTCTTCCCAACCAGATAGAGCTGTGAATGACCGATTCCGACAATCCTTGACAGGAGGTGTTAGTGTGATTTTAGAAACTTGAGGGTATATTACGAACTATCAGGGTATCTCATAAAATCAGTGCAAACCATAGGGCTATCAATGTAATTATCCCTACAAAATATATCTGTAGGTCATCTATTAGGCAATACATGCCAGTCCTTAACTCCAATTGGCCGGTCTCTCACTCTCCTTTCCTCTCCTCTCCATTTAGCTGTGCGACTTCCGAGGCGGCGCAGGTACATTCTTCTTCTCTCCAAAACTATCTCTCTTGAAGTTTGGCCGTCGCAGGAACGACTAGATCGGCTGTATTGAAATGATTTTATAGGTCCAAGCAATGTTGTTGGTCAATAATTGTCGCTGTCGTTAAATAAATAAACCATTTTTAGGTCATTAGATCTCTTCTATTATTCACGTTCTTTGTTCATTTTTGTTTCGGTGTATAATTTTCACTTGTATACTCTTCAGCCGGTTCGTCCCATATATATAGATCCGTCTCTCCTTTGTGTTCGTTCCATACAGGCGTTGTGTATATTTTGATCTATTGTTTTATATTCATATTTGATGTGTATAGACTGCCACATATGTATGTGACTTTAGATTTATGTGCTTAGCCTTGGCTCTTGGGTTGAATCAAGCGGTCTGGAATTTTTTTTAATGGAACAGATCTGGATGTATTTGTGATGATGCTTTATTCTTTGAATACTTACTCAGTTTTGCATATGTTGTAGCATTATTTGTTTTTATTTTTCTCGCGTGTTAGATTTTGGGGTTGGGTGATGTGTGTGTTGGTTTTTATATTCATTTGCAGCTTTGAAACTAAGTTTTGCTATCTATGGCCTGTTGGCATCCACGACCCTTTCTCTCTAATGAAGGAAATGCCAACATTTCCCATCTGGAGAATTTCATAGTATGCTCCCTTTTCCTATGTACAAAATGGTTTTCCTATACTTGCTTCTATGAACTAAATACATATATTTATTCATGCAAGCTATAGATTTGAATATGGCTGGAATGGTCTTTACAATTTTTGTACTTAATCTTATTGTATTTTTAACGTGGTTTGTAGCTCGTTGGTAGCAATAAAGTACTACTAGTTGTCGTTTTTATTTGCTTAGCTGATTGGACATGTTAATTTCCTTGAACTAACTCTTTAAGTATGTAAATTGAACATACTTCCAATATCCAGCGGAAGTATACTTTGGTCAGAGTCAGCAGCGAATATTGTTCATCCATTGGCTCTTTGGGCTCGGTTGTTTTTCATCAGGATACATCTTATGAGGAGATACTGTTTATTTGACTTAGGTCCAACTTTAATGGTCAAAAGTTTAAGAGTGCTAAGGCTTGGTTGGGAGATGAGTTGATGCATTTATGATTTAGTTCTCTCTATATCTTCTGTTTGTTGAACTGTAACTGACTAGTTAAGTATATTTCTTGATCTCTACCCATAATTATTGCTACAGGGTTTTCACTTTGTGTTTGTGCCTGGGGTATTTATGTTCCATTTCTTGTATAACACATACTAAAATGCCCCCTTTCCTCCACTGCTGTTCTCATCCATTTGGGGGTTGTCTTTATGCTTTCCTGAGTTTCTTCCTCAGCTAGATGGATTGATTGCTTCTATCATTATTGGAAAGTCGTAGACATGTTTTTTTCTTAGTTATCAGAATTCACTAAACCCTAACGACCCATGATTTGGGTACATCGATTTCAAACAAGATGAGTTCGTAATCCGGAACACTAATATATACGATCTTAAATTATAATACCAACCCTAAATCGATTCGTTTTGAAACATATTACACAAATATATTATACGTATTAATTGACTATGTGCGTATAAATTTATAATTATATATTGCTTTAGAAAATAGAAAATCGATCATAAATATAAGATCAACGATAACTTACTTGGTGTTTATGCATGCTTTATGATATAAAAGTTGTATAGTAGTGAAAACGATAAAATATAGTGACAAAATTCGTATTAGAGAAATGGTAGGAGTAGTTCTAATTGAGGATAAGTTAAAACAGAATAGATTAAGATGGTTTGGTCAAATTCAATGGAGGCCGATAGAGGCATCGGTTCGAAAAATTAATAGAATCTCTCAGTGGTACTAGAAGTAGAGGTAGATTTAAATTAACATTAAACGAAATAATAAGAAAAGATATAAAATATTTAACTTAAATGAGCATATAGTACATGATCGAAATGAATTGCGAAGACGGATTCATATAGCAGACTCTAAATGATTAAGACATAAGGTTTGGTTTTGTTTAATTTAGTAGGAAAAACGATATAAATAGGAGTTCTCAAATTGTGATCCAAAATATCGTACTAGCAAAGTCTACTCTCATCGTATTACCTACCTAAGAAATTGTTGTACTGTATTATAGTACCCGTACTACATATTAAAGCGACCCACGATTTAGGTATCATTGGTTTTTTTTTTTCAAGTTGTGTGGATTTATATTTTTATTCCTTTGGTTTGGTCATAATACTTCTTCCTTTTTCAAGCTCGATATTGATATGCTTTTGCTGGTGTTAACGTTAAAAGAGTTGATCTGACATCATAGTATTTACTCCTTTGCAAGCATGGTAATGTTTTGGTTTATTTGTTTTGATTTGTAAGATGTCTTGCATTCAAACTAAACTTCGGCTTGTAAATTGTCATAATCCTGAATCTGTTCCAAAAATCTAACCTGTGCTTCCTTTTCCCTAGCTGTAGGAGTTTCATTTGCAAGGCATAATGGCTGATCAATTCCAGCACCCAACTGTCATTCGGAAGGTAGCTAACCAGTTGCATTTAAGCGCCAACCTGTCCCAAGATGTTCAAGCTCGTTATGGAGGATTCCAGACGCCTGCACTTTACCAGAGGCGTTTTGCATATGGCAACTATTCAAATACAGGATTTCAGTATCCCATGTCACAAACATGTGGAGCCACCAATGATCTCTCATTGATAGCCTCAAATGCCTCGCCTGTGTTTGTCCAGGCTCCTTCAGAGAAAGGCTTGGCTGGCTTTGCCATTGATTTTCTTATGGGTGGTGTTTCAGCTGCTGTGTCCAAAACTGCTGCTGCTCCAATTGAGCGTGTGAAGCTTTTGATCCAAAACCAAGATGAGATGCTCAAGAGTGGTCGGCTTTCTGAACCCTACAAAGGTATTGGTGATTGTTTTGGGCGAACAATTAAGGATGAAGGTTTCATATCATTGTGGAGAGGCAACACAGCTAATGTCATCCGTTACTTCCCCACTCAGGTTTGTTAACAACTATCACATTTAGGACTTATTATGCATGCAAGAATGCATAAATATATCTCCCTTATACTATCCATTTAGGTGTGTTTATTTGATTGATTTCTTCCACAGGCGTTGAACTTTGCATTCAAGGATTACTTTAAGAGGCTGTTCAATTTCAAGAAGGACCGTGATGGCTACTGGAAGTGGTTTGCTGGCAACCTGGCATCTGGTGGTGCTGCTGGTGCCTCCTCTCTACTCTTCGTCTACTCACTGGATTATGCTCGAACCCGTTTGGCAAATGATGCCAAGGCTGCAAAGAAGGGAGGAGAGAGGCAGTTCAATGGGTTGATTGATGTCTACAGGAAAACCTTCCAATCTGATGGCCTTGCCGGTCTTTACCGTGGATTCAACATTTCATGTGTCGGCATCATTGTTTATCGTGGTTTGTACTTCGGAATGTATGACTCGCTGAAGCCTGTGATCCTGACTGGACAGTTTCAGGTTAGTAATTTTCTCTGCTGGTGCACTCTGTGTTGTTCAAATTATAGGTTCTTTACTCTTTTGTTTTACTTCAGTATTGACTCATTTGCAGTGGAATAATGCTATCTAGACTAATCTGATTTGATTATCAATATAGATTTGAAGAGAATATTTGGAGAGAACTTTCACTGTATATGTAGCATAAAAGCTTTAATTATGCATTTTCTATCAACTCGCCACTCTTGGAAAGCTGTTTTTACTTTGGTTTCAATGGATTTTCTGCATGCAATGGGAAATATGTTTCTATAACTGACACGTGCTTACCTGTACTGGTTTCAGGATAGTTTTTTTGCCAGCTTTGCTCTTGGTTGGGTTATCACAAATGGTGCTGGCCTTGCATCCTACCCAATTGACACAGTCCGGAGAAGAATGATGATGACGTCTGGTGAAGCTGTCAAGTACAAGAGTTCACTTGATGCATTCTCTCAAATCCTTAAGAACGAGGGCGCTAAATCTCTTTTCAAGGGTGCAGGTGCAAACATCCTCCGTGCTGTTGCCGGAGCTGGTGTGCTTGCGGGCTATGACAAGCTCCAGTTGATTGTGTTTGGAAAGAAGTATGGTTCTGGTGGGGCCTAATAGATACCATCTTTTTTCCTCACTCATTTTAGTTTCCGATGGTGATGAAAATCTTTTTTGAGTTTAATATGAGAAGTCATCCGGGGCCAGTTTTCACTTGTTTGAATAACTAGGAGATTAGACTTAGACTGGGTTTTGTCCCAAACATTGTTCCCTGATCTTATCACCAGGGTATTTTGTTCTCACAAATCTTGATTATCATAGATGTTACAATGGCTCAGCATGGATTTTAATAGTATTTCTGGGAGTACACTTTCCTGTGAACTGTTAGTATAGTTGATGCCTTTTCTGCTGCTTTTCGGGCTGTATCTCCGGTTTAACTAGGCAGAGCTAGTTACACTTCAGCTATGGGATTGAGTCAAGAAAGTCGAAGGCTTCCTTAATTGCTTTGCTGCAGATACACGTAATATGAACACTGATTATAGGTAATGCCTTTTCTGGTGTTTTTGGTGGCGATCTCTGGTTTTATTGATTTCTAGTTGTACTGGGCAATGAATTGGGTTTGAAGACTTTATTGTTGATTTCTTCTTTCAACTTTGAATTTCGATTTAAGAGTTAGTTTATTTAAGGGGTTGCTATGGTAGTGCATCTCATAGGGTTTATGATTCGTAACAGAGAAAAGGAGCTTATTATGCCATTCATATCCTTTAGGGATTGTCTTGGTATTCTTACTTTATATTCAAGGGAAAGCTTGTACCTGGTGGTGTAGATTCCACATGCAGTTCTCTAATGATGTATTGATCATTTACAGTCTAAGAAGTTTACATGATGAGATACCGGATGTGTATATACATCTATGTCTATAGTCGTATTTGTGAGATATTTGGATACTACTAATAACAAAAAAGTGTTGGGCCAAACTCAATCTAAACTTGCAATATCAATTTTAGTTGAGTTTGAGTTAAACCTTTTAGAATGATGGTTTCACAGTTAATTTAAAAGTTATAGTGAATTAGGTCAGTAAATTAGATTTAAATAGTATTGTTCAAGCCATAAATGACAATGAAATGGGTTACTATGAGTCCTGTCCCTCCAATATTTCCTGCACTTTTGTTGTTGACAAATCACCTACTTATTGAAGGACTCACTAATATACAACGGATCTCATTTGAATTTATAGTAAGTGATTTGTCAAGAAAGAGAATACAAAAACTGTGTATTTACTATTTAATGGCCTCACTTCCTATCAATGCCTTTGGTTTTTATTCGTTTCTAGTTTATATTTTAATTCAATTAGTTAGATAAAACTTGATATTTTAATTAATTTATGTGGATCTGAATTCTTCATATAACTTTTTTACGCAATTCGATTGTAATTCTATATAATTACAATCAAATCAAGATTATATGTATTTACACTTAAATACATAATGATGTTTAGGGATCTATCATTGGACGGTCTCAAATAAACTCGTTATTAATATCTCTTTCAAAATTATTTACATTGATTTACGTTATATCGTGTCTTCAAGCACGAATTATCCTTAATTATTATATAAAACGAAACTAAGATTCAGAATTAAACTTTTTATGAGTTACTTGGATTGGGTCGTGCTTTTGATTCATATTTTTGTTTCTAAAACGGGATTCACAAATGAAATATGAGAATAAATTGAATATTAGAATCACAGCTCTAGAATCAATTGGATTCAAATTCAAAGTGAATCCAATCCAAATCCAATGAACGGGTCTAGTTTTCGGAGCTTTTTAGAACCTTGGTGGTAGGGATGACAATAGACCGGGTATAAATGGGTATTCGTCCAAACCCGTTTCATTTAGATCGGGAATGGATCATACGTATTGAACGGTAGACGTATACAGGAATACCCGTATAAACCCGTACGGGGATGAAAACAAAAATGGACTGACACTTACCCCCATCCCGCTTTACCCGTTGTTATTATTTTTATTTTATATATATACATATTGCTGTGAATACAAATTTACATATTATTAAATAAATTTTTTTTTTGAAAATTGTTTTTTTTCATGTTTTTTTGTTTATAAAAATATAGATCTTTGTGTTTTTATGTTTTTTTATGTTGGATTATATTATGTTACATTATATTGTGTTGCATGATGTTGTGTTGGATTTACATGGAAAACAAAATTTTAATTATATTATATTGAATTATGTTGTAAATAAAGTTTTAATTATATTATGTACGATTATATTGTAGATGATAAATTTTTAATTATGTTATGATATTATATAATTATGTTAGATTATTTAAAATGTTAAATTTATTTAGAATTTTGAATTATGTTAACTTTAACTTGATTTGACTTAGGCTTCGACTGTGGCTAGGGCGAGTAAGGTGGATGGGGTGTGGATGGGGTGGGAGTGGGGATTACAAATTTACCAGTGAACGAAGATGGGAATGTAAGTTATACCCGTTAAAAAGCGGACTAGATATGAACAAAATTTTTTTAAGTGTTTACGAAAATGTAGGGTGACCCTCCGCTCGTTTTCGAACCACTGCCATCTCTAGTTGGTGGGGGTGCTGTGCCGTTTCCCTTCGGATGTGTTACTGGCCTTGAATTTTCGAAACCTTTGATGTAAGGTGTATCAGCTTCTTCCCGCCATAATACAAAACCATCTGATGGTCAATCTGTTCATTATCAACCACCTCAGATCTCTACGTTGGACTCAAAAGCTTCTCTCAAATCCTCCTTATTCTTGCTGTTCTCTCCATTCTCGCTCTCTCTTACCATACAAAGACAAACCCAACAACTGGAACACAAACCACACTTTTGTCCTCTCAAACCCATTACTTTCTCTCTTGGAAAAATGCAACTCCATGACCCAATTGAAGGAAATTCAAGCCCAAATGATCAAAACCAACTTGATCTCAGATGGGTTAGCCTTAAGTCGCTTAGTCGCCTTTTGTGCGATCTCAGAAATGGGTAACATTGATTATGGCAAAAGAATACTGTACGATACTCAAAACCCAAATATGTTTTCTTGGAATGTAGCTATTAGAGGGTATTGTGAAAGTGAAAACCCAAAAGAAGCCTTTTTGTTGTACAAGCAAATGTTGACAAGTAATGGGTCGTGTCCCGATAATTATACTTACCCTTTGTTGCTTAAGGTTTGTGCTCGGTTATCGTTGATTTGGATGGGTCATGAGATTCTTGGACATATATTGCAATTGGGCTTTGATTCAGATATATTTGTGCACAATGCGGTGATTCATATGTTGGTGTCATGTGGAGATGTAGAGGCGGCACATAAGGTGTTTGGTGAAAGTTGTGTTAGAGATTTGGTTTCTTGGAATTCTTTGATTAATGGTTATGTTCGGAGTGGCAGAGCGCGTGAAGCACTAATGATTTATTGGGAAATGGAGATAGAAAGAATTAAGCCAGATGAGGTTACTATGATTGGGGTGGTTTCTTCATGTGCTCAATTAGAGGATTTGAGTCTTGGAAGAAAATTTCATCGATATATCAAAGTGAACGAATTGAATTTGACAGTCCCACTTGCTAATGTGCTGATGGACATGTATGCAAAGTGTGGGGATCTTGAGGCTGCGAAGGCATTATTTGACAAGATGGGGAAGAGAACCATGGTTTCCTGGACCACTATGGTTGTGGCATATGCCAAATTTGGATACCTTGATACTGCTAGGAGAATTTTCGAGGAGATGCCGGAGAAAGATGTTGTGCCATGGAATGCCATGATCGGAGGTTATGTTCAAGCCAAATGTAGCAAGGAGGCGTTGGATTTATTTCATGAAATGCAGGCCATAAATGTTAAGCCCGATGAGGTGACCATGGTTAGCTGCTTATCTGCATGCTCACAACTTGGAGCACTTGATGTTGGAGTTTGGATTCATCATTACATTGAAAAACACAAACTGACTCTAAATATTGCCCTAGGAACTGCTCTAATAGACATGTACGCCAAGTGTGGTAACATTACAAAGGCATTTCAGGTCTTCCATGAGATGCCTGACAGAAACTCCTTAACGTGGACTTCTATGATTTGTGGTTTAGCACTTCATGGGAAAGCACATGATGCCATATCCTACTTCTCAGAGATGATTGATATCGGATTAATGCCAGATGAGGTCACCTTTCTTGGGGTTTTGTCAGCTTGTTGTCATGGAGGTTTGGTTGACGAGGGTCGAAATCTTTTTGCCCAGATGAGCTCCAAATTCAATCTCTTCCCCAAAATTAAGCACTACTCTTGTATGGTAGACATTCTGGGTAGGGCTGGTCTGTTGGAAGAGGCTGAAGAACTTATTAAGAGCATGCCACTAGATGCAGATGCTGTGGTCTGGGGTGCACTGTTTTTTGCCTGTCGAACTCGTAAAAATGTGGAGATGGGAGAAAGGACAGCTTTGAAACTTCTTGAGTTGGATCCTCAGGATAGTGGAATTTACGTTTTGCTCGCAAGTATGTATCGGGAAGCAAACATGTGGGAGAAGGCTGGGGAGGTGAGGAAGATGATGAGGGAAAGAGGGGTAGATAAGACACCTGGTTGTAGCTCAATTGAGGTGAATGGCAATGTGTATGAGTTCATTGTTAGAGACAAATCACATCCCCAATTCCAACATATTTATGATTGTTTGATTCAGTTGACGAGACAGCTGGAGCTTGTTAAATTTGTGGCTGGTGTGCCTGAACTAGGAGATAACCTTTTCTTTGGCTCTTAAGCTGGCAACTAAATTTGAACTAGCAGGTTAGTTAAATCTCCCCCTGCTTTCCTCGAGTGTTTTCATGTCCTTCATTCTTCTGATGATCAGTTTGAGATCACAAAATTTTGTATACCAGATGTTCAAATACATTTATCATTGTTTATAAGTTTAGTCACCAGTTTCTCTGATATATCCTATAGGTCATTTTTATGGTGAATACTTCAAATATATATAAATAATTAATGTGTTGTGATTCATGTGCTCGATGAACAATCAATGAAATTGAATAATAGAAGAAGAATACAAAAATTTACGTGGTTTGATAACCTGCCTACGTCCGCGATCCTATAGCGGCTGCCTTGTTTTTTATTTCACCCTGAATTAGGGTTGCAACTTGACTTATATATGTTACAATCCTAACTTGACTACTCATCGATTTGGTAGTGATTGTCATAGATTAAAAGAGAGTAGAAAACTTGTCGTTTCCCATAGACAGCCAAACTGATGATGCAGAAATTGGTTTTGCGCAAGATCAACAGTCGAGTATACGAAAGGGTGCAATTAATAAACAATAAACAAACAATTAATGACAAAATTGTTGTGACACCCCAAAATCCTGGGGTCCATTGATCACCCATCAACTCGCGAAATATTCGTGGATATCGTGTAACTCGATATCACGCCATTATGTCTCATTTATCGGGATCCATAATTTAACAAAATTCGGGCAGAGTCTCCTTTGTACGGAGAGCTCTATCCAAAACATAACATGTGCACTATATAATCACACGACTCATCCGAGATCTCATATACAACATTAACCACATCGGGTTCATTTATCCATATTCATATAACAACATTTAATCACATGACCTATCCGAGGTCCAATATACATCAATTCATACTTCCACATCATGAATTTATGCATTAAACATAGTTAATACAAATTCAAAATTATAATTCTTTTACATACATTGCATGCCCAAAACTAACTTTGTAAAAGTTAGTACAAAAAAAAGGACTAAAAACCACAAGTCGGTCTTTCTTCGTCACTAGGGCCTGAATAAGCACCGTCCAACGGTGTGTAGCCCTCCACCTAAAATATTTTTCCGTATAGAGTGAGCTACGCTCAATAGAGTATCTCCTACAGAGGTTACTCTCCAACCTAGATGCATATGAAATGTGAACATGAAACAATCAACAACCATTATCCATTCCAAACAAGAATATGTAATTCAAGATTGGAATTCTACCATGTCACGTCATGATATAAGATGATACTCACTCATACAACTTCAACCCGAGTCCTCATCGACTCCCACAACACAATGCAATGCACATGTGTAATGAATTCGTCAATTGACAAAAAATACATCCAACGATTGTTTGAAATAAAAGTGATGTATTTATAAAACCAAATCATTGTGGATGTTACCCATTGAATGAGTATTTTATAAAACAAAATCTCGTGTCTTTGTTGGGCAACGGATTTTGGAATCACGACTATCGGTTCCGTACACTCACTTTTTTGGAATTTCACCTTAGGGGAGTGTGTGAACCAAGTAGCCGAGTTTTGCACCCGATGGAGAATCTAGCCGTTCTTGTTGTACCCGACACAAGTTTTCCATATATGTAACCGTGCGACTCAGTCGGATCTTCAATCCAACTTTTCCGAGCTCACTCATCAAGCACCAAGTATGATGTTTGATTAAACCATGTACCTACACATCCACACTCATGCATAAAGTTTATGAATGTGATGTCATTATCATGCCCAAGATGCAATAAATGTCAAATGAGCAATTTAACCATATATCAATATCCCAAGACCAATTATATCATGTGCATATAATTATCTTTATCCAACACAATGACAATATATTAATGAACATATATCAACATTTTATACTTAACAACCAAACATAAGCATGTTATTACATAATTTATGTCAATATAACACACTTTATTTCACATAGACATTTTATTAAACACCTTCAAGACACCAAATCATGTAATCACATAAAATGCCCAAATTTATCCCCCAACTAAAAAAAAAATTAGATTCAATGATTTTCACATACTCAATTATCAAAATTTCTAAGAAATCACAAACTAGCAATTTATAACTACCAATTCACACTAGAATTGAGTCTACTCATTTTCATTAAACCAACTATAATAGGCAAGTTTTAAAAACACTCAAAACAGCCCACTCATTTCCTATGGACACCATAGGATGAAAATAAACCAAAGTAGAAGGGAATTCTACCTCTTGGAGCGTAAAACGAATGATAGAACCTTCAAGAATACCAACACCAACCTCCAAGTTTTGATTATCGACTTTGATTCTTGGCTCGAAGAATTCTGACCGACGGAACTCTGTGAATCGAAGGGAGAAAAGTAGAGATTTTTGTTTTTCTTCTTCTCCTCCTTCCAACGTTCAAACCAGTAGAGAACCCAATAGAGAAATGTCCCAAAATCAGATATTTAGTCAATATTTATACATTTTAATGCTTGACCCACATCGCGCCACACACCTCCCTTTTTCCTAGGTTCGTTTTCACCCCAAAACGATTAAATTTCGCTCCGGTTTAAGTTTAAAATATTTTATATGAATTTTTTTTTAAATTATAATAAAATTTTAGAATTTGTTCATTTTTTGGACGTTTTTTAGGTTACCTGACACCCATCGCCTCGAAAAACGTAAAAAATTTGACTATTTTGAAATTCGACAAAAATTGACAGGATAGCTCGATTTCACGATATGAATCTAACGGTGAGGTCTGTTGCGTCATTCGAGCTCTAGAAAAATATGGATTTCAAATCCACATTATAGTGGCAAATTACCGTTTTGCCTTTTTTTTAAAAAAATTCAATTTTACTCGGGTTTTACATTCTTCTCCCTTAAAAGAATTTCGCTTCCAAAATTCACACACACATGCACATTCAACCACATGTGTATGCAACAGTCATATAATACTAGATGACTATAATAATGTATCTTCATCTTCGAATAAGAAAGGATAACTAGTACGTATAGTGTCCTTACGCTCTCATGTTGCCTCCTTCACTCCTTGGTGCTACCACAACACCTTCACTAACCTCACGGTCTTGTCTCGCAAAACTTGATCCAAGTTATCCATGATGCGTAACCTTCTCCGAGGTGTCTCTAATCAATTCCGGACCTGTAGAGGGTATCTCTCCTACCTCCGTCCAACAAATCGGAGAACGACAAGACCTCTCATAAAGCGCCTCATAAGGTGTCATCTGTATGCTTGCCTGATAACTGTTGTTATAGGCGAACTCTACTAAGGGTATGTGTTTTTCCCAGTTACCCTTGAGTTCTAGGACACATGCCCGTAGCATGTCCTCTAAGGTCTGGATAGTCCTCTCCGACTGACCATCTGTCTGGGGATGAAAAACAGTGTTCATCATCAACTGTGTCCCCATGGCTCGTTGGGAACTCTCCCAAAAATGAGCCGTAAACTTGGGATCCCTATCCGATACTATTGATACGGGCACCTCATGCAAACGGACAATCTCTCGTATATACAACCTGCAGAATTCCTACAGTGTGAAGGTCATCCATACCGCCAAAAAAGTGTGCCGACTTTGTAAATCAGTCCACTATCACCCACACCGCATCATGCCCTCGCGATGTTCGTGGCAAATGAGTCACAAAATTCATCGTGACATGCTCTCATTTCCACTCAGCTACCTCCAAAGGCTGGAGTAATCCCGCTGGTCTTTGGTGCTTAGCCTTTTCTTGCTGACATGTGAGACATCAACTAACAAAATTCTTAACGTGTTTCTTCATTCCGCTCCAATAATACTGGCGACGAAGATCATGGTACATCTTTGTGCCACCTGGATGCACAACAAAACGGGAGAAATGGAACTCTCTAAGGATCTCTTCTCTCAGCTCCTCAGACTGGGGAACCACAATCCTTCCCCTAAATCGAAGATACCATCCGTATGAATGGTCCAACCCTCGTCACCTGTACCTGACTGTACTCGATCCCTAATGGACACAATCTCTGTATCCTGCCCCTGAGACTCGATCACTATGCTCAGTAGCGTAGCCCGAACTGTCCCACAGTTCAAAGTGCCCTGAGCCTGACTCATGTAGCGTAGCCCGAACTGTCCCACAGTCTCGAGTATCTACCACTCCTAGGAAACCACACTAGCCAAGACTCTCCGTGACTTCCGGCTGAGTGCATCAGCCATCACATTTGCCTTACCGGAATGGTAATGCAAAGTGAAGTCATAGTCTTTCAAATACTCCATCTATCTGCGTTGCCTCATGTTGAGGTCTCGCTGTGTAAAGATGTACTTCAGACTTTTGTGGTCTGAAAACACCTCAAACTTCTTACCGTATAGATAGTGGCACCAAGCCTTCAAGGCAAAGACTATGACTGCCAACTCCATGTCATGCGTGGGGTAATTCTGCTCGTGGTTCTTTAACTGTCGAGAACCATAAGCCACTATCCTCCCAGACTGCATCAAAACGCAACCAAGTCCGTCATTTGAGGCATCACAAAACATCGTGTACCTCTGTCCCCTTTTCTGGGACTATCAGGATAGGAGCTAAAGTAAGCCTCCTCTTTAACTCCTCGAATGCCTTCTCACATGAGTCATTCCACTCAAACTTGACCTCCTTCCGGGTCAATCTCGTCATAGGTGCAGCTAATCGAGAGAAATCATCGATGAACCTTCGGTAGTACTCTGCCAATCCCAAAAAACTGTGTATCTTGAAGACTGACTTCAGCCTCTCCCAATTCATGACTGCCTCAACCTTCTTCGGGTCCACGGATACACTCAAGGCCGACACTACATGTCCTAAAAATTTCATCTCTGTAAGCCAAAATTCACACTTGCTGAATTTGGCGTACAACTGATGGTCTCTCAAGGTCTGGAAAACAATTCTCAAGTGACCCTTATGCTCTTCCTCGGACTTGGAGTAGAACAAGATGTCGTCAACAAAGACCACGACGAATTGATCTAGGTAGGGTTGGAACACCCTATGCATGAGATCCATGAATGCTGCCGGGGCATTTGTCAATCCAAAAGGCATAACGGTAAACTCGAAGTGCCCATACCGCATCCTAAACACCGTCTTAGGGATATCTACCTCCC